TCGCCCCCATGCCCCTTGTCCTTCGTCACAACTCTTCTCCCCACTGACTTCAAAGGTTCCTTCCATGATACGGGCTTCAGTGCCCCCGCCTTCCTTCTTACCCACATCTGAATTTACTTTCACTGTTCTACAATCATCATAAAGCACAGCACCCAGATCTGAACATCCGACGTTTTCCTACATAGAATAATTCTGAGCAAATCAAATACAATTTAAAATCAAGAATGTCAGCCATATTTTAATGCCCAATGTTCCTATAAAATAGAAATACAAGTAGAAATGGGATACCTGAAGTTATTTTTAAAAACTGAACACCGCCTTCACATTTTTTATGGTATGGCTAGAAGATGGGTTCTAAGAGGCTTTCTCTCTGTCTCAGAATTCTCAATGGGAAAGCGTCCTATTTCTGACAGTCTTGATTAATATTCTAGTTTTCCTGGATAAAAACATCACAAAGTTTCATAATATTACACAAAGGGCCACAATAGTTGGAAAAACTCTCACACACTTTTAGAGGTTATAATAGATGTTGAAAGAACAGATCCAAACCTAGAGGGGCTCCTGGCAGGCTGGGGGAAGCCAATGCCTGGGGATGCTGGAGAAATACATGGGGACCCTTTTGTGGTGAGCTAGGCAGCACCCGTTACCCCTCAAAGGCAGCAACCTCAGGTCTCAGCCCTGGGAACACCCAGGCATATATCCATCCACCTCTCTGAGGCACTTCTGCTGTCAATGACATAAATCACAAATCACAAAGGGAGAGCTCACGCCTCCAGCTTGTACCTCACACTGGCTCCACACCATAAGAAGGGGGCTGGATTACTTTCAAATTTTTGACTTTATTTATTTATTTAAATTTAATTCTGTTTTTTGGAAGATTAGCCCTGAGCTAACTGCTGCCAATCCTCTTCTTTTTGCTGAGGAAGGCTGGCCCTGAGCTAACATTCATGCCCATCTTTCTCTACTTTATATATGGGCCGCCTACCACAGCATGGCTTGTCAAGCGGTGCCATGTCCGCACCTGGGATCCGAACCAGCGAACCCCGGGCGGCCGAAGCGGAAGGTGTACACTTAGCCGCTGCGCTACCGGGCCGACCCCTTGACTCGTTAAATGCTACTAAGAATTATATACAAGCCCAGTGACTGGCTTGATCGTCCAGACATCTTCTCTTACTCATCATGTTCATGAGCCAATCAAATTACCAGGTCAGAACTCGAAATATTTATAAAGATAAGGAATTCTTCAGTCACAGCTTCTGCTCCTATAATTTACTAGATTCATTCCATTCATTTTAAGTTGTAAATATAAGAAAATGATTGTTCTGCGTAAGGTAGGTCACAGCATCTTCTGCTGTCCAGCGTAGAATTTAATGATTGTTCTTCAGCAGAAGAGAACTAATATAATTGAATATAACGAGTGCCAGAGCCATGAGAAACTCACGGAAGGGCTGTCCTCATATCCATTAGGCACACCAAGAGCCCCCACATGGACAGAGTGGTTCCGGCTTTTGAAGCAGCATAAATACTGATGATAAATACCTCTGGCCTCTCCTTTCTGAACAAGTATGCCGCAAAGGGGAAAAATCCCCAGCGCCAGAACCTCTGCGCCCAGCTGAGAGTCTAGGAAGACTGCATGCTGGGCTCCGTCTTGCGCTTGGCTGGAGAATCGCACTGAAGCGCATTCGGGAAGCCCCAACCACTCCCTCAGGTGGGCTCTGGGGACATCGGAGGACAGCACAACCCCTGCCCTTAAAGGGCTCTGATCTACTGCACTTATGAAAGGGTCAGCGGCACAGACTTCCCCAGGGATCTGTAGGAGGCACCGTGAAAGGCCTGAGTGGTTTCTCTCCACCTTCTCTCCATCTTTCCCTTGGAGGCAGACCTGTGTGGCCTGCGCCAGGACCATTCATGCCCTTTGGCTTCTGGTGGGTTGGGTCAGGGCGGGGCGGGGGGCAGGAGACCCGAGGAAGGCAAGAGAGTGAGGTTAGGGTGCTTCCTCTAGGCTCCTTCACCTTCCAGGTCATCGTAGGTTGGATGTGTCCCTCTGTTGATGGCCACAGCTCCTGACTGGAGGACTTCCCCTTCTCTCTCTCTGGGTCCTAATAACTGCCCCTCCTTTCTCTGTTATACCCCTGGGGTTCTGCACCATCCCTCTACCTCTTCCCCCACCTGCCCATGCCTCTGCAGATACTCCCTATGGAAAGCTCCCCGCATGACCCGGCTTGAGGGTGCCATGTCTTCCCTGGGACCCTGACTGAAGTAGCTGACTTCCAATGAAATTTTACTTTTCCCATACTCTAAAGACATTTGAATCTAGTCATTTGTTCCAACGGGGTATGTCAAAAGCCAGACAATTCAATTACTTGACGGATATCTTCTATAGAACTTTTAATATCCACAATTGTGACTTTTCAACATAAGGTCAGGCAGTAGACAATACACTGGCAATAACCAGTCACTGTGCCTCGCAGGAAAGAGAAATAGAAATTTAAAGAGCACCCTCTAAAAATAAAACATACACAACTAGCTTTAATTTCAAGAACAGAATGCTTAATTTCAATGGTTGATGCAATACACTTTGGATTAACAGTTGATAAGAGTATTAAAAAAACAGTGTACATCACTGAATCCAAAATGACCTCAATTGTAGGATGCATTCTGACTTCAGAGATGATAAAATGTGAGAAAAAAAAGTATGCCTTAGATATAATGAAATATAGTGTGTCTCACAGAAATCACTCATTCATAGTTGGGTAGGTAACTTTTCCTAGGGAAAAATGATACATTTTCTTTTTATAGAGAACTTATTGTCTTATTTTCTCTGGGAAAGATGTCATGGCTGTTGGTACTACAGAGAGAATATTCTCTCAACTAGAAAGTGAGGGGCGGTTTCCTCTATGATCACTGGCCTTGAACTTCTGAACACATATCAACCATTATCATCACTCATGCTTGAGACATCGTCATGACTTCTGATTTGGGTGTTTCTATGGCGTCTGGGAGTCTGTCCTCCTGTCTGCATCCCTGCCTCAGTGGGATGGCTCTTTAATGAAAGAGCCCATAGTTGTTTTAGGGCTGAGGATCTGCTCAGCCTTGTCATACACTATTGCTCGGAGCACACAGCGCAATCCCAGTCACTCGGCAAGTGGACTGCAAACATCATAGACATCCAACTGGTTCATGGTCACTTCTCAAACTTCCTTCAAACTCACTGATGGGCGCCTGGGACACTGGTCTGAACCAACAGCCCAACGAAACATAATTGCTTCTAATTTCCTCTAAGGCTGTATCTTGTTCAGAGAGTTTTCACTACGTCAGTATGTGGGTGGGATAAAGTATCGACAACGTAGTTGCAGGTGGACTTGATAATCAGCTTCCACCTAGTGGTGCTTTTGAAAAAAGTCGCTGATTGGAAACATGATACAATGTTTATCTGTGAAATGGGCGTGAGGCCTCACCCTAAAGCAATCCTACTCTCCCCCTGGGTACATGTGGCTCACGTTACCCGTCCTGGCGGGAGGCCAATCTTCTTCCTGATTTTACCCCAAACCTCTCGTCAGGGCAGGGGTGGCCACACGTGCCCAGCTGGGTGCTCTCTGCTGAACGGTTGTTTGAGGGACTCTCATCAATGCTCAGCATGGGTGGCCCATTCCTTTTCCAAAGGGAAGGTCAGTGGCATCTCGGGTGGTGCTTTGATCCATAATCATTATTTTTCACCACTGCTGATATAACGAAATCATCCTCATTTATCATAACAGGAGAAAATCGGTTTTTATTGGCTAAACTTGTTAGCAGGAAGCCTATGGGAGGCAAATGGTAAGAAACATGGTGACGAAGAAGGGTTTTCAGACTCTTCCCCGATTGGCCACCAGGAGAGCCCAGCAAGCTACTCGACACTCCGAGCCTCAGTCTCCCTGCAGTGGAACCACGCCGCCACCCAGCTCACAGAATCACGCAAACAACGCAGTGCATGCACCATCAGCTCTGCCCCTCCCTTGCTAACGTATGCATTGTGGGTTTACAGGCTCGTCTTTGGACACTGGGAGGGAACAGAGCACTTCCCCTAACATCGCAACTTACAGTTTTGAACAAACAAGCAGAGTATTCAGAAAAAGGGTGGCAGGAATAGAGAAAGAAAAAGGATACAAACGTTAGAGAGGAAGTTCTGCCATATATGGAATCCTTGTTGCAAACAGAGTCTTTTACTATTATTGGTCTCATAAATGATAATTCATGTCTCACAACAATGTTCTGCCATTTTAATTTTCCTTTGAAGTATTTCTTTAACTGGTTTATTACGACTGCAACAATTCCCCCTCCCATAACATGTGTGTGTATCTCCACGTGCATCTGTGGAATAAAAAAATGTAAACCCATCTGAAGGAGCCACTTGGAAAGACCACATCCGGCCATCACTAAGAATTAAAACTAAGGACTCAACAAGTCAAAGCAGAGTCAAGACAAACTGTGACAACTGGAATATTAATAGAGCCCACAAAACAGAGTCGGTGGATGCGAACAGAAGGGGTGTTTATCATGATATGTTGCTGAAAGTCAGAACTGAGGCAGCTGTCTTATTAGGTATAAGATGAGCCAAGATCAGAGAAGATTCCTAAATTAGGAGAGGCGACAGTCTTTGTTAGAGGAATACAACACGGCACACCTCAGTTGGAGGGGACACTGGTGACCCAGGTTGCCAAAGAAGGACAGGACCAAAGACGTTCACCAGGCACGTGATGGGGAGACCAGCATTACCATCCACCAGGTGACAACTACCTGAGGGTAAGACAAGTGATTTGGTTGAACCATCTTGAGAATCAGGCAGCGATGAGAAGGCTCCGAGGGCCCTCTAGCGCCACCCTGTAAACAGAAGGCACACGCAGTGACCTGGATTATGGTGCATTTGTGCTTCTAAGGGTGCGTGATTTCACAAGTTAGAGTGATACAAGTTAACTTTCAGAAACGCAGGCTCTCACCCCCAGGTCCCCGGGAACCCTTACCTTCAGCGGTGCCGGAGAGCCCGTCGGCTTTGAAGTTGCTGGTACTTTTCTTCCTTCGGTGTTTCTTTCTGTTGGCGTGAGGGGAGGGGGGCGGGTCGAGCTTGGGGCTGGTGGTACTGGAGATACTTGGGCTGGAGCACACCGAGTCGCCCAGCCCCGTGTCTGCCACCGGACCGGAAAAGGCAAAAGAACGCAAAGGTTAAGCGCTTAAAACGAGCAGACTTTCGCAAAAATACGAAAGCAACGTTCCTCCAACATCATACAGAGCCCTACAAATAATACACTGTCACGAGATCGCTGGACCGGAGGCCTTGAGGATCCATTCTTAAAAGATCATGGTGGCCCTCGCACATGGCGCCCCATTGTGCCCGCCATTCAAAAACAGGCACTTATTTCTGCATTGTCTTTATGCGCTGGAGAATTTCAGGTTCTCTACTTTGCATGATGGGAGATCTGGAAAAGGAAATTGGGAGTTCATACTTTTTACATGTTTCTATTTCTCTTCCCATAATTCCTTAACATTAGGAATGAAATAAAGACACTCAGGAGTACATACAAAAGGTCCTCTTAAATGGGTGCGATTCTGTGTGCGCACAGGACAAAGGTATTCCAGATTCTCTTTCTTCTACCCCAACATTCCGCATGGCTGTTACGTCAGTTTATTATGAGTGAAAACCGGCACGCCATTTCTCTCTCTCACCCATGTCCAGCAATGGCATTTGGAAGTGATACAGCAGACCTGCCAATCTTTGACTCATTGAAGCTACTTATAAAATTTTAACACCAGTGCACAAACGTGAAATTCACTCTCAGTGAAACTCTCAATTTATTTTGTCTATTTTTTTTTATTTTTTATTTTTTTGAGGAAGATTAGCCCTGAGCTAACAGTTGCCGCCAATTCTCCTCTTTTTGCTGAGGAAGACTGGCCCTGAGCTAACATCTGTGCTCATCTTCCTCTACTTTATATGTGGGAGGCTTGCCACAGCATAGCTTGCCAAGCAGTGCATAGGTCTGCACCTGGGATCCGAACCAGCTAACCCCAGGCCGCCTAAGCAGAACATGTGAACTTAACCACTGTGCCACCAGGCCGGCCCATATTTTGTCTATTTTTATCTTTACCAAAGAGAGGACCAAAATAGTACTAAAGGACCAGGAATGGAACGAACATGTAATTCAGCCAGAACAAAAAATTACACTGAAAAAGTGATGAAGAAACACCTTCCAAACACCTTCAAAGTCTTAAGAATTCTTTTGTATTTTTTTTTAAAGATTTTATTTTTTTTCCTTTTTCTCCCCAAAGCCCCCCAGTACATAGTTGTATATTCTTCGTTGTGGGTCCTTCTAGTTGTGGTATGTGGGATGCTGCCTCAGCGTGGTTTGATGAGCAGTGCCATGTCCGCGCCCAGGATTCGAGCCAACGAAACACTGGGCTGCCTGCAGCGGAGTGCGCGAACTTTACCACTCGGCCACGGGGCCAGCCCCAAGAATTCTTTATTTCATGATTCAGCATCGTTGCAACTCAAAAGACAGAGTTCTGTGTCATATACATCATTCATCCAACTAATATTTTTTAAGCACCTACTGTGGGCCAGCCACTTTTCGAGATGCTTGGGATCCATCACTGAGAAAAACAGAAAGATTCCGGTGTGAGTGGCACTTACACGGCAGCTGGGCCACGACCCGGAGTACGTCAGCAGGTGGTGAGCGTTATGAGAGAGAAAAGGAGCACATGGAGGCTTGGAAGTTGGGGAGGTGGTGGCAGAAGTGAGGGGACACTTGAAATAGGGTGGACGGGGCAGGTCTTGCTGAGAAGGTGACAACTGAGCCAAGGCTTGAAGACAGTAAAGGAGTGAGCTGGTGGATGACCGGGGGAGAAGGAAATAGCCAGAACCTGGTCCTAAGATGGAAGCAAGCCTTGGTGGGTTTCAAAAACAGAAAGAAGGCGAGTGGCTGGGGCTGGTGGGGACGGTCGTAGGGAACAGCATGGCAGAGAGGAAGGGCTCTGCTGCAGGGGCTCCGAGGCCACTATAAGGACCCTGGCTTTACTCTGAGGGAATGGGGACCGGCTACAGGGTTTTGAGCAGAAGAATGACATGATTTCAAATTTAAAGATCCTTGAAATCAAGCTGAATTTAAAGCAGTTTCATTTTGTGAAGTTCTAGAAAATTTTATCATATATTGAGAAATGTAAAAATATACAAATTACAGTATTTTTTAAGATAGATATATGGTTCCAAAAATGCCCTGGGATGCAACTTCCTGACATCCTAGGACCAGTGACCCCTTGCCCATCCTTGCATGGTGCAAAGGGTCAACCTCCTTCCCATGTACCCATCACATGTGGAGGAAAGGTGCGGAACCCCTCCTGGGAGGGGTGGGGGGAGATGCCCCAAAGCTGCTGCAGGAGAACCTGGGCAGCACCCGACGGCACCGACCCCTAGACCGTGTCAACAGGGTCCACTCTTTGTGGGTGGACACTTGCTCACAAAATGCTGCTGAAATACCATTCACCACTTTAAGGAGTTGCAGGAACTGTGACAACTCAGTGTCCGGCCACTTTTTCTCCCCTGAAACTGACACGCTTCCATTTCTACCAGACTCCCATCCTCCGAGGCCGGACATCCGGCAAACCTCTTGGGTGACTTTACCCACGTGCAGCGAACAGTCCTGAGCCCTTGTCGGCTGGTTTTGTGGCTGTTTCAGGAGGGAATACAAGTTTAAGTAAGACACAGCCTCTGCCTTGTGGAGGCTGGGACTCCAGGATGAATCTTTATTCACAGTCACCATTTCTTTTCTTGCACAGCCTTTCCAGCTGGCTGCCTGATCTCTATTTAAGCCACACTCACCCGTGGTCTGGTCCTAACCCCCCAGGCCTGGACTGTGTGGCCAACTCCAGGAGGTCTCTCTCCTTTCAGTTTTTCACCTTTTGTTTTGAGGAAGATTAACTCTGAGCTAACATCTGCTGCCAATCCTCCTCTTTTTGCTGAGGAAGACTGGCCGTGAGCTAACATCCATGCCCATCTTCCTCTACTTTATATGTGGGATGCCTGCCACAGCATGGCCTGACAAGCCGTGAGTAGGTCTGCACCCAGGATCCGAACGCGGGCCGCCAAAGCGGAACGTCCAAACTTAATCCCTGCACCACCAGGCTGGCCCCCTAGCTTTTCACCTTGTAAGTTGTCCCCATCTTTTACAAAACTAATTTTCTAAAGTAGCGATTCTTATCCATCTTTTTAAAATCCTAGATCCCACTGAATATCAGATGAAAACTGTAACTACCAGAAAGAAAGGGCTAGTCTAATCAATATTTGCACACAATTTCTGATGGCTCAGAAGCTGCCTGATGTTGCTAAGGGGGTCTAGGGACCCTAAGATCGTTAGCTGACCCTAAAGCAACCCTTTTACATGTTATCTGATGCTTGAACCTTATAATGAATATTTTTGCTCCTTTCAAATATTTTCTGCCCAGGTCTTAGAGGTCTCTATCCTCTGGCTGCATCCTCTCTGCCTATTAGGTGTTAAGAACCCATCCTGTGTCAGGCATGGCATCGGACCATGGGAAGACAATGCTCACGAGGACTGTGCCCATCCTCACTGAGCTACACACCAATCACGGGGCAGAGGAGGAGAACAGCAAAGACAACCGCCCTCCACGGCAGCAGGGCGGGCATTTCATTACGTCACTCTGCCCCTCGGGTATCCGTTCAATTCACTGCACCATGTTCTTTCCCAACAACGCGTCTGAATCCTTACGTCACTCCATTGCTGTAACGTTCTCTCCTAAACCAACAATTCTCATCTCTGAACTCTTACTGGTCCTCAAGTTGGGGCTTTCTGTACACGGCTGTCTGTCAGTTATCTGGAGCTCACTTGCACGCTCATTTCCCCCCACGGTGAGCTGGACAATGCTGAGCACACAGTGCTTGCACCATTATAACATAAACATCCTCGGCTCCCTTCCATTATCCAGCGGTTCTTTCTTAAGGCACGTACCAATATATCTTTTTAAGATACCCAGAATATACACATAAGCTCTAAAGTTATATAACAGCTTCCACAGGGGTGATGGCTCTGTTTCTGGGCTCTTTATTCTTTCCCAAGACTCTTTTCATCCATCTGTGTTCCAACAGCACATGCTCTTCAAGGCTATGGCTCAGTCATCTTGGTCCCTCATATGGCAGGGCAAGTCCCCGAGCTTTGCTACCCTTCACACTTGTCTCAGCTATTCTTGGCTGTTCTGAGCATGCAGCCTTGTGTATCCATCCAAGTCAATGACAAAGATATTGAACAGGATGGGTCAAGACCGAGGCTCAGACTTTCAGATTCACCACTCTGCATCTGGAAGCTTCTGAGAGTGATCACTGAACAAGACCAAGATACATCATATTGTCCTTGCATCCAACTCATATACCTTTGACCTTGCCTATAAAGAAACTATGGACCGATCTTGTTAAATACTTTGTTGAAAGCTAGACGGGTACCCAACTTACACATATTTTTGACAATTTTAAAACAATAAAGGGAAATACATTTAATATTTTTTCTCCTTAATAAACTATCTTGATTCAACTAAATCACAATTAAATTTTCTTTTCTATATAAACACAAAGCATTCCTTTAACAATCTAATTCAGAATCTTACTGGGATAGACCTTAAACTCACTGGTATATGGCTCAGAATTCACCTTTCTGGAAACCAAAATGATGTCTGTTTCTAGACATCTCCTTCCCTTTCAGCTGGAGAACACTTTTTCCAAAGTAAGTGACAGGGACATGGCAATCTCATTTCCAAGTTTTCTGAGTATCTTGGAATATGTGTCGTTCCAGGAGAAATTCCTGGCTCACTTAAAGCAGGTAGCTAAGTGGCAATCTTAAGAAGGAAATACTGAGAAGTAATGACACCCTCCTTCCCCTGAGGGACCAGCAGTGCCAATCACATCAGCACCTTACAGCCTCCTTGCCCTTGGCATCCTTCAACACCAGTCCCTCTATCCCACACGGCTCTGTATTTCCACTAGTCCACTGGCTTGCAACTGGGAACCCAGGCCCAGGGACATCTGTCAATGTCTGGAGCTATTTTTGGTTATTGGACTGAGAGGGGTGGAGGCACCACAGGCATATAGTGGGTAGAAGCCAGAGATGCTGAAAAATATCCTTCAACACACAGG